GGCCTCTTGTTTTCAGAACTTCTGTGGAAGTTGTAGAACTTCTGTATAATTTATATTTCTAGTTCTGATCACTTTATCTGATCATCTTTATCACCCACTAGGTGAGCCAGGGACACTTCTACTGGCATATGTGCCACCATTCACAGGATTCCACGTGAGCTGGACCATTTCTAATGATGTGTGGCACAGAGAGAAGATAAAAATCAAAAGCATAATGAGCCAACTCTGACATGCATGTGGAGATGTTGTCAAACTGAATGTCTGCCAGCTGCTGCTTACTGGAATAGTTTGACCACACTGGTATATTTCATCTTTGGGTAAATTGCAGCAATTTAAGCTCTTACTGCCCCTTTCCATTTCTGAAATTAATTTCAAAAGGTGTGTTCTCTAAAACAGCTGAACTGAATAAGGAAGGGAATCTCCCATAGCCATCTTATCAAGAGAGATCTATACAGAAAGCAAGGATAGTTTGAGCTGGGTACTGTTGCCCCAACGTCAAGGAAGAGAAACAGTGCAGGGAGGAGAAGATGAGCAGGGGGTCGGTGTGCTATGGGGACAGGTCTCTCAGGTCTGACATCAACCAATATTCCTTAGGAAAGCCCTGTGTGGAAAACTGCTAATTGAAAATCCCCTTTGACAGTTCTATAACCAGAGGTTAATACTAGACTTCCTCATTTGGGGACATGACTAAAGCTGTTACTCAGTATGTGTTAATGGCTGCAAAACTCCTCTTAATTTTTTTAAGTCATTAGTATGATGCTCATCTTATTTAGCAGCAGACACTGCTCGAGGGATTCTTTATTCTGAAATTTTGTTTGGATCAAGATCAAACATGTCTAGGAGGATTTTGTGCAAAGCCTGCGATTGTGTGTCTCTTCAATATATTTTGCATCAAGTATATGTTTGTGTTAGAGTGTTAGCAGAAAATTTTCTGACAAAACTGAAAATAGGGAGTCTTTATCTCCAACGTTTATGGAAGCATGCTGAATTTAACAAACCTTTGACAAGATGTATGTAGGAGTCTCAAAGTCCTGTATACCCCTGGAAATATACCTGCCTGCCTATAATCTGGGATCTTATGATTCAGAAAAATCCTGGTATCAGTCTTGTGTTGAGGACTAATTATGCATTTATTATATTTGTGCATATGCTTACTACTGTTTAGGTTTCACATTATATAAATGTATATTACTGGCTTTATTATTATATTGTTATACTTTAAATTTTAATTCTGGGACAGTCCTGTAATGATGTGAACATGATGGATCTGATGGGGTCTGTGAGTTTAGAGCTTTAGGGTTTGTACTGCATGCAGGAATGGAGACTTAAAAAAAAATAATAATAAATAAATGGGGTTTTTTTACATTTATTTTTGTCATTCCTATTTGGTGGGATTTTTTGTTAATATTTTGTCTATGTTTTTGTGCTGAAAGAGACTGAGTCCTTTAAAAAAAATAGTGATCCTCAGGATTAAAATTTTTGCTTGGCTTGAACGTGTAAGCAGTGGGAGGGGGAAAAAATGCAAATAGCCACTTCTTGTTTTCCAGTGAAAGCAATTGGAAGGCTTGGAGTGCAAACACAGCTTCTAATGCAACTTTTTATAAATGTTTTCTCTTTATCTGCAACAGTGTTTTCTTCCTCTTTTTGTTATGGGTTTGCAAAAAAGTCTCACAACAAAACCTTCCTAAAAAATTTGCCATAAATTCTGTAAGATAATTATTGAACATGCAACACACAGTACTAACAACATTGTGTTCTACTCTTCTTCTCCCATCATAACCCTGAGCTGTTACTACAAAAATAATTCTAGTAATGTGCTAGTGTTTGAGGTTCTATGAGAATAAGGGATATATAAACTTTTTAAGAATAGTAGTGAAGCTCTCCACAGAATTAATATCCAGGTTTTTCAGACATTAGTGGCTTTGACAATGAAGATGTTACTCTGATATTAAGTGGCTTTGCTCTCAAAGATCACTTTGAAGCCTAAACATGGATCCTGCCTTCCTGCAGTGTCTGCATGCTCCCCAAATATTTAAGGGCATAAACACTTTACATTTTGATAGAAGATGAAGGTAATTTCTCAATTTCATAGCTGCTGTAGGAAATGTTATGCACCTGGGCCAACCTCATGCTGGAAGTCCTTGGTAAAGGTCTAGGATTTTGGCAAAGTTCAGACTAAATCTTCTAAATCACACTTCAGTGTCTGGCCTTTTCCTTTGTCAAATTACCAGAGCTCAGATGCTTGGCTGTGACCTTTTTTTTTTGTGCTGTAAAGGTATGAATCATAAGGTTTAGACCTAGAAAATAAAGAGAAATAAGGAGTACTGGCTCCCATCTTTCACATCTGGTTGTTTTCACATACTTTCTGAAGTGTATCTTTAATAATAACTTATATTATTGAAGTTCTCAGACATTTGATTGTTCAGTTCCAAAGGACTTCACTATGCCATAGATTCTTTTGATTAACTGCATATGACAGAGCCAGATAGTGCTCTGAGGGTTTTAAAAACTAATTTGAATGTGCATCCAATTATCATTGTATATATATGAATTTATAGTGATAGGTTATTTAAACTTCACAAAGTTACATCTCATCTAAGCGTCTCACACAGCTTAAGAAAAATGATGAAAAGTCTTCATCAACAATCAAAGTTTAATTAATTTTGTTAATGAAAAATATTAGTTTTACTTAGGGGCTTATGAAAGGATTAATACTCTTACTTTACACTCAAGTCTGTGATAACCCATAAAAGTGCAATTAGTGTACATTTATCTTTAAACATACTAAATTAATTGGAAACGTGTTTCAACCATTAATAATTCTTTATTAGGTAATTACTAAAATGTATGTCAAACACTAAGTGTTGAGCGTGATCTCCTCTTTTGACAATAATTATGCTATTGATCACTGAGAATCAGCCAGATGTGTGGCCGTGGTGCTTCTTACTTGTGTTTTAATATAGTTGTCAGAATAATAATATGCATTATTTTTATCAAGTTTATCTGTTTTCTAGACGTTTTTTGCTTCTCCTTATGCTTTGTTTTCCAAAAGTCAGGAATTGGAGAACTCCTGCAACTATCTTTTCTACCACCAGTTTTATTTGTGATGAAGTCAGAAGTGTGCAAGTTTTAAAGGAGCACAGAGACAGCTGTGAGATTCATGAGCATACATCAGTTTTCAAGGTACCTTTTTTATCCTTAGGTCTGAAACAATTGGTGGAGCAGAATTTTTTGGCTCTCTACTTGCCCTACTAAGAAAGGTGACATGATCTTACTTCTTCCCACATGTGGGAATTTTCTATTCTGAAAATGAAAATTGGACTTGTAAAACGGGAAAATTGCTTGCTACATTTTTGAGTAAACGATGTAATTTCAGCAATCCTGACTGCTCTCTTTGCTGTGACTCTAAGTAGCAGAAATCCCCTGGTGTAGAAAGGCTACCAAAGTTGTGCTGCAGGCGGAAGTTGCAGTTTTCAACTGAAATATCATTGCAAAATGAAAGGTAGCTGTGGGTCTGCAAAACAAACCCACATCCTCCTTGTAGCTCATCCTCAGTGATCGTGTTAATTTCTCTGTGAGCTGCTCGTAGTGGGGCAGAAAAGTGAGAGAAATGTAGACAGCAAGAAGAAAAACTAGATGATAGAATAGATGACTGGTATAAAAAAGTAGATACCTTACATCCTACCTACCTGAGCTGTGGTAGAACATGAACCTAAGTACATAATTTAGCAGCATATTGGGGCTTTCAGACTACTTAATATCCTCTATTGTGTAAATGAATTATTTACTTAATACAGTTAGATGAGAGAGAAAGAGAGGATCTTCTCTATAGAGGATGTGGTAGAAGGTGTGTGGATAGAATTCCAAACAGGGAGATTTATAGCAGCTCAAAAGGATCAAACTTATATCAGATGAAAGCTTTTTATTTTTTGGAAAAATGTTATTACTGCCTTTTGTATTTAGAATTATTTTCCTTAAAGATGATTTATCCTGCCTATTATGGTTTAAAATATTTTTTTTCAAATCCATGCCATAGCTCCTTCCCTCACCTAAATATATACAATAAATCCTCCAATAACAATGAAGGAGATCAGTGTGTACATTCAGAGACACCTGAAGATTGAACTAGGATCCTATAATGTCTTGTTTAAAAATAATACCATGACAAATTTCTGATTTACATGCTTACTTTCCTAAAACTATTTCTCTGATGCCTACTTTTCTGCTAAACTGTATTTAACTGAAAAATGATAGTAATTATTGCCATTACTCCTTCATGAATGTGTGGGGGCAGTATCACTGATATATTTGGAAAAGTAAAGAATCATTAATTGAAAATGTACAAAGGAAGATTTACTTAGATTTTTTTTTTCTAAAATGCCCACACAATTAATAAATGAGACTGTTCAATACAAATTTAAATGGAATAAACACCAAAAAAATTGGAGAGTCATATTAAAGGTGGCTGTATTATGAAACAAATTTGCTCTGAAAGCTAGGAACATTTCTTACAAAGCAGCTGACTATTAAATATTACACTTGTGTGTTATCTACTATATTCTCCTCCTCTTTTGAACTGGTATACAACATGTTAAAAAGATAATTTTAGGGATTTTTACAAATTACATGTAAGATAAATGAATTATTAAATGTATTCAAGTCCCCTGAAAAGAATTTATTTTTGAGGCCATACTTGTAAAGAAAAATCAACAGGAAATCAGAAAACCAAAACATTCTATTTAAAAATATGTAAGCCCTTTGACAAATACAGAAAGCACCTGGGATAATTATCAATGGCACACTTCTTCCTAAAAAGGCAGTTCAAATGTCTTATATTTTCTCCTGTTTCTTTAATATTTCTCCACTGTTATTAGAAAGTATCATGTGTGTATTGTTCTTAAAAACAAGCTGGCAAAGGTAATTATTAGATCCGGTTTGTGCAATCAGTGGTGCTGAGTTGCAGTGGGAGACATTTACAAAATAATCCCTCTGGTATTTTCTCACAAAAATGGGAGCCATCTCTTCTGATTTCTGTTCTGTCGCTTCTTTACTAGTTCCTTGTATGCCTCTGACCTTAGAAACCTGGGAAAAGAGTCCTTTGCCATGAGGCTATAGATTAACCTCTGAGCATCATCAAAGCAGCTGAGGGTGGGCTCGGAGATATTCTGAGAGATGTGGGTTTTGGTGTGGAAGTCAATATTAATCTGTGACAAGAAAGGAGATATGAAAGCAACGTCAGTTTGATTGGAAAGCTGAGCTCTGTTCACATACAGGACAATCTGCATTTGAATTTCCTCCCAGATACCCCGGGTGATGCAAAGGTCATCCCTTAATTTTCTGGCATACTCAATTCTTGGTTTTATTTGGCTCTTAAAAAGATGGCACCACTGAAAAAAAGGGGAAAACTTGCTTCTGATTATCTCATCTTTTTGCCAAACTAAATCCTATGATGTACTAGTTACCAAAGAGTACATTGGAGCAGAAGGTACTCAGCAACATTTTAGGTTTTGGTCCTGTGTGTTTTGTAAGGATGGATTTTTTTCAAAAGTTAAAAGGATTTTTGTTATATTTAAGACATAGGGATATTTAAAGCATATTGCATTATAAAAATGGTTAAAGAAAACAAATTATATTGAACATATATTTCCTTAAACCTTAAGGCTGAAATTTCAGAATGTAAAATAAACCCATGTCCTCTGTGAAGAATATATTTAAAATATAAACCATAAGAGGCCTGTCTTTGCTTCACAGAGTTCCCCATAGTGTTTTCTAATGATAAATAATCAAATTGAAAATGGAAGTACAGCCACATTGAATTATATTCTATTTTCTGTCATTCCCAGAAATTTGGATCTGAACTTGCCTCACGATTCCCAATCTCAGTACCCATAGTGCCCCTATTTACCTCCTTTGGAGCATCATCTTGTATAAAGTCAGAATAAATCTTTTGGGCTTTTAAGGCTATCTTAGTGGAGGATTTGGTTTTCTTGAAGTCCTCACAGGCCAGCCAGAACTCTACATTCTCCTCACTGAACTCTGACTTCAGAAATGTCCTAAAAGCTGCCAGGCCATCTGGGGAAAAATGAATGAGATGATATGCAGATTATATGTGCATATATACATGTGTCTATGCATATATACAGTTAATATAGTTTAACTTATGTGTCTGATATTGTTTTGATCATCAGCCAGCAGTTAGTCTTGAGAAGCTGCTGTAGGAGAAATAAACAGGAAATGAAACTATAGTGATGATAAGGTGACCAAGAGAATTCCTGATTGAGAAATGCTGCCCGTACCTGTCTGCTGTGGTTTGGGCTCTTTAGCACTGATAAACACTAGTCCAGAGGAGAGCCTGGAAATTTTGGCTTTCCAGAGGATTTTTAGTAACTTGGTTGTTGGGTTTTGTTGTGGGTTTTGGGGGTTCTTTTAGTTAAAAAAAAATAAAATAGGAAAACCAGAACTATTGTGTGGAGAGTTTAATGGATATTTCTGCCTGCTTAAATGTCCCTTAAGCATTGGCCAGAAGGTATGTTGTGTTTGAAGCTCAGAGAAACATGCCCCTTTGCCTCCCAGCACTGCAGCCCACATGCCTTCAGCAGCAGCTCTGGTGTGGCTCAAAGCACAGCTTTTAAAATAAGTTGTTCACCTAATACTTACCTTTACTAGCTAGTAGTGTATCCACAGACTCAGACCAAGCCATTGTTTCCTCAGCGTCTGACCTGTGGAAAAAACATCTGTCCTTGAAAACAGCACTGTGATCTTCTGCCTGTGCAGTCTGTGGTAGCTGATTTGTTACCTGGCTATCTCCTTGAGGGAGTAAAGGGAGCAATTTGTGTTACCCTGTGTACCGAGTAACAGAAAGTCAACAAAATGTGTGACAGTTCTGTTTTAGAGAACCACATAAGATTATAAAGTAAAGCAGTATTTGACACTGGCAGCTTGATTGCTCATCCAGGAGATAGCAGTAATGCTTGCAGTTGGTTGAACTATATTAAAAGTATAGAGAGGATACTGTTCTTGAGTATGTGCTGAGTTTCTTCTTGAGTTCAAACGGATTAACCATTAATTTATGTGACATTTTTTGCTTGGAAGGACTCATAATTGTCTAAAACATAATGCTAACAGTGGCAGGATAAATTCTTCCATTTCTCAGTGGTGTAAAATATTGATTAAAGTAATAGTTTTGGCTCTTCCTTTGAAACTTGCTGTAGGCTCCTGTTAGAAATGAGACACAGAACTAAACTTCCCTGGCTGTTGGGAAGATGTCCAAGCTGGTTGAGAAGCAAGACACAGTGTGCAGCTCACAGAGAACAGCTGCACCTTTGCACAGGTGATGAGACAGGTTGGTAGGTAAGGGAGCTGCCTGTCAGGTGTGTGGAATATTTTTTCTTGTAACTTGGGAAGGAAGTGTTGTATTGAATTTAGTCCATGAGTATGTAGATAAATCTGTCTTCTATTCCTGTAAAATTGTTTTGATTAAAATTACCATTGTATGCGTTCTTAATTGAAACACCCAGCAGAAGGAAACTCCTTTACCAACATTGTTGTTATTATTTACACTTTTTGTCACAAACCCTTGTAAGGGTATGATTGCTTGTAAACTACTTTTGTGTAAATGTCAGTCACACAGATGGAGGTGTCACCAAGCACCTGCTTCCCTGCATGCTAATTTTTACAACTGTCCTTGGTCAAAATTTTTGAGCTAGAAATTTCAAGTGTTAATTGGTTCCTCTTGTGACCTCTAAAGACAGGTAGTAAAAGAAGAAGTGTGTTATTGAGCTGATACCCTATGCTCTACTCAGAACAGACTCAGTAGAAGGTTTTATCCCAGCTTACCTTAAATTTTAGTGAAATTAATATAATTTTTTTTAAAAGCACAAAAGTTCAAAGGAAATGAATAGTTTATTAGCATCGCGCAATTGTGAAAGATCTTGAAATTAAAAAAAAATATTCAAAGTGCAAGGCCACAGCAGAGTAAGTATTTTTTTCCCCATTTTGGATCAAGATTTTTATAAGAAAACACATCAACCCTAGAATACCTGCAAGAATACCTTGAGAGGCAGGTAATCATTAAAAAGATCAGTATCTCATGTTCCTTTTGTTGACACCAGTACATTTTATTCTAATAGTAGAGATGTATTAACCAGATAGAAGAAACCAATTTTCTAATCCTCTGGTTATGCATCTTGGTAGGCAGGGGGATTAGAAACTGAGTTTACAATCTGTGTGAATATACTAGTCATTTGATGTCTTGGCAGCTCTGGGATGACTTGTGTTTATCTCCTCTCTCACTTGGTCAGAAAGGGGAAATTGGAAAATTTTGAAATATCTTGTTTTGTTCAGGGGCAAAATCAAAACAAATTCCAGGATTTTTGACAGAAACATAAACCTTATTTTCTTACTGTTGCTGTTTGAAAAACCTCACAACTTAATTTCATGGAGGTTAGTCATTCTGTACTGAAAGGTTTTCTCACTTAGTTTTTCTCTTTTCAGACATGCAAACTCACATGTCTAGGTCTTTTATTCCCATCCCTCAGAGAGGAAAAAGTTCATCTTAACTAAATAAAGAGCAGATCATCCTTGGCTCAGCAAAGCACCACAAGCCACAGACATTGCCCACAATACTGAGAAATTTGGGTGAATGGAAAAGAGGGTAGAAAAGACTGCTGAAACACAGCACCAGCCTGCACATGCAGAGCTGCTCTTTCCTCAAGGCTAGAGTTAAAAGAGCATGTGTTCTCAAGGCTGGCAAGATGCCCAACCATCAGGAGAGCATTTTAAAATAACCTCTGAAGTTCACTGTGCTTTTGTGTCTCTGACTAACCCGTGTCTGAAATCGCCTATGGAAAGTCTTTTGTACTGCTGACTTTCTGCCACTGTACATTCTAGCTATAAAATAGGTATTTTTAGGAGCTAGAAGGCTCTGGAATCTCCTAAATGGACCAAACACTTTGTTCTATACAGAGCATCACAGATTTTTTTAATTTACCGAAACAAAACAAACAAAGGAAACCCCAACCAACCAACCAACAACAACAAAAAGTCCAGCAAACCCCATCCTGGAATTCTGTAAAGAATATCTGATATCTGACTCTGAGAGCTTGACTCTCAAAGCCCTGTTCTGAGGTGTACAGGCTAGTTAGAGAGCTGTATTCCACAGCCATTTCTCAGCATCATCAGTATTTTCTAATTGTAAATTTATAAAGACATTAAGTGATAGTGTCACCATATTACATAGCTGTAATAATTATTACAATAGATTGTGGCAAGGACATCTTTAACAGCAAGCTTTTTTGTAACTGTCAGTTTGCTTGTATCCAAACTGCACAAAGTTACATTTAAATGAAAATAGTAAAATTCTGCATATTTATAAATATATATGCACATATACATGAGAGAAACTGGAGTACAAATAAAATCAGTCTGTATTGGAAACAAATGAAAATGAAACACAGCTCTATGTAGTGCTTTGTGAGACATCTTGTGCTTGTGAAATTAATCAGGGAATTTCTTTAGGAACTGTAATAAACTTTTACCAATATATAACAATTTCCAGGTTGTTCAGTAAATTTTTACTATCTTGTCAAACAAAAAAACAAGATGAAAAACAGGGATAAAACAGACAGCATGAAGCTAATTCTGCTTCTTTTTCTTATGGGTAATAATACTTGGTTTAATATTTACTTGTCGCTCAGAATTATCTCACTGACCTCATGGGATTTACTTGACAGCAAGGAATCAAAATAATAATATCCACTTTCATGGAGGAAGGGAAATAAAAGCTGTCCAGATTATTAAAAAGTTGATCATCCCATAAACCTGTGATTAAAATAGCCATAGACAACAACTCACTTTATTGGCACCTTTTGTCACACTGTCTGACTGTCACAGGTAGGGCAAAAATTTCTTTTTCTGACTGATCTTCAGGCTGAAGGGAACATGACAGCTGGAACAATGCAATCAGCACGTGAATAACCAAACAGTGCAATGCAAATTGTCACACTGTTTTTAATCCTTCATTTGAAATAATTTACTTCAGAAACATGGCTTATTTTTTAGCAGTGGCCAATCTAGCTTAATCTACCAAAAGTAATTTTAATTAAAAACAATTCATATGTAAATATCTTTCAAGTCACATTTATGTTCTGAACAACATCTTAACAGAAAAATCATCTTGTAGTTTTTCTCATTGACAGTTTGGCTTTCTGATTGTGGAAAAGGAAAAAGGAAAATAGGACCAGAGCACATAACTAGAAAATTCTTCACTATAATTTATTCTCATATTGTATCTGCAATTTTTCTCCATCATCCTGTGTGTCTTGAAGGTGTGAGGCTCTTGAGCCATTGTCACCTTTGTTTATTCATACATGACTTTTATCATAATGGGGCCAAACTGGAGTGGCCATCATTTTGTACAGTGATGCTGCTACAAATGGGATCATGCACTATTGGATACTTTCAATGCAGTGATTTATTTTTTTTTTCCTACCCTTATTGATATTTAATTATATGTGCCATCACTCTGCCCAAAAAAACATTTCCATATAACTTTATCTTTCATTCTTGATAGCTATTGTTTCCCCCCATCTCTTTTCCTTCTCTCTGTTCCTTACTGTCCATCACTCTCCTGGACAAGCAGGCTTACTCACTGGCTTCTTGCCTCCCTCTAAATCTTATCCTGCTGCCTAATCCTTTGCTTACCCTACCCAGCTTCCTGGTTCTCAGTGTCTGCATGTGACCCAAAAAAACCTTCTAGTGGTTCAGAAACCAGAATCCAGCTGTCCCAGCCTGCAGAATATGGGAATTTTGTCTTCCCACTTAATATATTTTATGGCAAGTAAAATTTTTACATCATCCTCAAGAGTTTAGGTCCTGTTTGATTTCCTATATGGCAAAGTCACACACCAAGCTGCCTTCTGCCTGACTGAGGACACAGTCTTTCTCACTTTAGCATCTTCTTCCAAAGTAAGAAAGAAATGGGCCAGCAACACATGTTACGTTTTGGCCTTAACAAAGTTGAGGGGTTTTTCCTTACCCTCACCTTTTGGGGATCTGTAAAAGAAGTTTCAGGTCAGACTATTTGATGAACTTCACAATGGGGGAGAAATGGTGAATCTGGTCAGTAGTACTCCAGAAAGCTGAAATGAGATGGGAACAGATATTTAGAGGTGGGTTACTGGGACAACTGGGGAAATTGTTGTGTCTTGCAGGTGAAGAATAAAAAACTTAAGTTTGTTTGTAAAATGAAAGCCGATAGGAGCTATGATTGCTCTCTGTGAATGCAGAGGGATAACCCAGAGAGTAGAAAGAATTATTTTGGCTTAATGATGATGTTGGCAAAAGGAAAACAATATGTATAAACAGAGAAAAAAATTAGGCTGGAAATCAAAAGGCAACTTCAAGAAAGTGTAGTTTTTAACAGTCTCACTGTTTAGTTTTTGTCCTCTATTTATCTGTCCTTCAAAGATAATGCTTCACATATTGATGAAAGAGATTCTCTTAAATTGTTGCCTTTGATAACAGGTAACCAGAAATAATGACCCAAGATACCCCTTTCAGTCCTGCATTATACTAAAAGAGATTTCTGGCAGCAAAATGCGAATTCTTCATACAATTTTTTATCTTTGCATCCACTTACTTCTGAAAGTTATAGTAGAAGGAGAAAAATGTGAATTATCATCCTGGTTCTCTGCAGTGCTTCTTCTTTTCCTTAATCAGTTATTTTCCCTTGTTTCCAGAGTATGCACTGCAGACTCTAACACCACACTAGACAGGACCAAGAGGAAGACTAACTTCAGCATCTTGCAGGTAGAGAGAAAAACCTTCAGCATCTGCATTTACATGAAATCCTTTGTGGCTGATTCATTCCCAGGTTTGAGGTTTGGTAACAGAGGATAAACATAATTCAAAATCTGAACAATAGTTATTTGTAGAGTTTCTGGCCTTGCAGACTGTAAGCAGCTACAACTTGAATTTTCTAACAGTGAGAGTGTCTCTTTGTTGATTTTTGTTGAAATAGTACTTGGTTTCCTAATGTTATGTTGTGTGATTGTTACTATACCTTTCTCAGGTAGCAAACAGGAGGTCCTTCTGTAAATATGAACAGATATTTCTGTGATTTACTATTTCTTGTTATTTTTAGGAAGGGACTTTGCTGTTAGGTGCTCTAGGTTCTCACTGAGAAATGGCCAAGACCCTGCAGCAGTTCTAACTGGATGTTGAATTTTCCGCCGAGTAACAAAATTCTAGGGCATGGCCTGATGCAAGTTTCCTCCAAATTCCTTGGTGTAATGCCAGTAAAGTCAGAGCAGTTACGAGTACAGAGATGACACCACATGAAGCAACATATCATTCTTGGATGATTCCATGTATTTCTCACTGTTTACACTGTATCTAATCTCAGTGATTACACTGTTCAACTACCTGAGATTTGTCATTACAAATTGACTTATGATACATTTTTTAACAGGTAATATCACTCTTTTGTTATATAAGAGTCCCATTAACTCCTGTGAGACAATTTAGGAGAGGGAGGACTGCAGGATCTGTGTCTTTTTTTTTAAATAAACATCTGATTATATACTTTATGAAAAAGAACAAAGTTCCAAACAGTAAAACAGATGCATTTTAACAAAATTCTCTCATTCCCTGACATCCAAATGATACTAATGGGACCATCTTTTGAAGATTTTCAGAGCTGACAGATACTTTAAAGTCAGTCTCAGCAGCCACAGAAGGTTGCTAAAACAACACAGAATGATGAGATTGATACAATCTGATTGCTCTTGCATTTTATGGGTTCTGATCACAAGTCACAAAGATAAAAGGAGCTATGAGAGGTTTACAGTGACTGCTAAGTCAATATAAGTTGATTGTATTTCAGGTACACAGCAGATAATAGGGTTGTTATTATTTTTATCCCAGTACAAATATCACAAGTACACCAACCAAAGTTAGGTGCAGGCACCTGTTCCCAGAAAAAGTAGCTGGTGGTATTGTTATCTGCTTCCTCTGCTTGAAACTTAATCGTTTCTGGAAAGAAATTTCAGTTTTACTGAAACTTCATAAGGAGAAAAAGCAATCTTAGTATTAAAACAAATGCATCAGTTGCTTGTTGAAATGTATTAGCTATTGATAACTGACAGTGTCAAGTAAACAAAAAGAGATATAAAAGGTACTAGAGACGGGCTGGAAATACCTCATGGAATTATTTCTAAACTTTTTGGAAAACTGTATCAGGTTGAAACTGTTGATATTTGCAGCTTTGTTTCACTAATGACCCAGTCTGGACTGGCTGAGTAGCAGAGGCCCTTATCTGCTCAGCAGGTTTCAGTTTTAAAATCTATCTGTAAGGCCTTGGTTTAACATTTCTGTAACTTTGAGGACTGTGCTATGGATTTTTCTTTTGAGTCCTTTGCCTCTGACAGGCCATAGGAGAACTAAACAGTAGGAAAGGGAATGATTGAACATTTCCCTCTTTGCCAAAATGACTTGCTAAGGACTACTGACTTATTAAATATTTAAATCTCCTGAACTTTTAGAATTACTGCTTGACTTCTTACTGATACTCATATTTTATTATTTAGCTGTCTTTAAGCATTAATTTCACTGAGTTATCTTCCTGTATGAAAAGCTATTGCCTGTTTAAGGCAATAAAGCATGTCATTTATTTGTTCTGCTGACGCACATCTGAGCTAGATGCTAATCTGAATAGACAGTATAGAACAACTCTTCATGTCCCAACTATTGGTGTATTAACCTAAGAAATCACTTTCATTTATGTGTGTTCCTAAAAGGGTTGCCTTGTACTCACCCGAGTTCAAAGTCAGAAAAGGTCACACTCTCCACAAGCTGTTTTGGTGTGCTGGTGTTTTCCCTGGGTCAGGTTCAATATGTTATTGCCCTTCAGCACTTGGCCTCTGTTAAATCCATTCCATACCCAGGTTTGCTCGGAGAGTGTTATCATGTGCAGTGTAACATCAGCAGAAAAAAAAAAAAAAATGTTAGTTCTGCTGGTCTGAGCAATTCAAGCAAACAGACCTAACTGCATTTCTTATATTGGGAGATGCCAAGATGATCTGAGCACTGCTGGCATTCAAGGGACATGGAAGTGCCTGTCAGACAGGATGCAAATGCATTTTAATCCCAGCACTATGTAAATGCCAATCTTGCATTAGCACTGCACAGCACAGTCAACTCACAGTTCTTATTTTATTTTCCTATGAATAACTCCAGGTGCCTTCAATATGCTGCATAGTTGTTTTGCATAAGAAAATGAGCTGTTGTTTTCTACCCAAAGTGTGCCCTTCAGGTAAAATGTTTTGATTTCAAGAACAATCAGTCAAAACATTTCATAGCATTCTGGGCTCCTCATCTACAGGATTTTCAAATGCTACAGAAACACAAACCTGTAACAGAAGAGAACTGGAAACAATTATCAAGAAAGTGTGCTGACTTTAGTGGTGCTAACTGGCTGATTCTTTGGCACAGCTCCTGGATGAATACACTGTTATTTGCACAGCATCAACCTTCACAAAACTTCCTACCAGAAGCATACATGGCACAAACATATAGGATCATATGATGACCTTGTGTTTGGAGATGGATACAAATTGCTCCAACGCAAGAACAAATGACAGGTAGGCATTTTGCCTCAAAGAGCTCTTGAACTGTAGTTGCCCCCATGAGTAGTGCCTTGTGGGTGGCCTATCCCAAGCCAAGCTGTGCTAGGAAGGGATGACAGGGAAAGCAAATATACCAGTATTGTTAGTTACCTCTTTTTTAAATTACTCCTGGACTCTGGCTTCTCCAATGTGCCCGTACCCAAGTAATCTGGGTAGAATGTGAGTATGATGTAGGAGAGCTCCTACTGAGTCCCTCATAGGAGGACATCCACACAAGCATTTAGTCCTTAGAAACTCTCTCTTTTTTTAAGGGAAAACTGAAGTAGTATTAACTGCAGAAATTTAAAACAAGTCTGAGAAGTTGGAAACCAAATTGCATGGTGAAGAAACAGTTCTTCAGAGTTGTTCTTATCTTAGGCATCAGCATAGTCTTCTGTTTGAAAACTCTAAATTGACTTCCAAAGGATTGTGTTCCATGCTAGTTAATTCTAATTTCATTTCATAGAGAAGGCAACGATAGAGGCAAGACTGTAAATCTCAGTGTCTAGATAATCTCTTGTAAGGACGTACAAAGAGGTAATGCAAACAGGTATCATTCAGTGAAGGAGAAAATCTTTGGTATAGCACCAAATGGAGCTTTTATGAGACCAGCCCTAAATTATCAGAGTACAAAAATGGAAGATGACAACAAGACATGAGCAATAAAAAGGCAGGAATAGGAACAAACTGCATGGTGTGGAGAGGAAACACATTTTTATCTTTGGCGTGGAGCCACATGGGAGCTTAAAGGGCATTTGATTGAGGCATTTGACTAAAACACAAAAACTAGAGTGAAGTCCAGGACAGGCAGCTGAATGAGGCATGAGTTTACAAGCATTTGAATCACTGAAGAGAGGAAGGTGATTTTATGCATTTTTTTTAATCAGTTGAGGTATTTTGACACTGTGTGGAAAGGAGAGGGAACTGTGTTCAAAACTGGTAGTTAATGAAGGCAGGTGGAGCAGCTGGGGACCAAAAGGAGTAAAAAATTACATGTCTTCTGTGAGTCACTTGTAAGTTGTAGCATGTAAGAGCCGTATTACTGATTGCCTCCTTTAGTGAAAGATACAAATTATCTTTTTCTTTCAGATTCTTTATCTTCAAATTTCATTACTCTTGTTTCTTGTCAGTTCAAGAATAAATCATCTTTTGCACAATAACAAATCCCCAGAACTGAAGATGTATATGTGTATTTCCATCTCCCTCGCATTAAACAAAACGAGCAAAGAATAATTCAGCTAATATAAAGCATTTAATTAGACCTAAGTATTCAAACAGGAGACAAACTTTTGTGCTACACAAGTCAGCAGATCGTTTGTCTTGTACTTGTCTGGAGACTTAACATAAGTAGAGGAGTAAAGTGAAGGTTTTATGCAGAGTAAATTATTGTGTTGGCAAGAGAAATATTTTCAGAGCTCTGAAGTGAATGCTGAATGGCACATACAAATAAAAAAAACCTGCTACATAAAGTAATCCCCAACAAAAATACCCAGTAGGATTTGTATATAGACTACTCACACTAGGTCAGCTAAACAGGAGGATTTACAAAACTATGGCATTGATTCTACTAAAACTAGAGAAGCCCAACTATGTTTTCCAGCATCAACTATGTTTTCTAAGGTTCATGCTGTAAATACACCTATGCAGGGCCAGCCCTTTGTCTGATCAATCCTGTCTCAGTCATGGAACAACAACACAGACTTTTTCTAGATCTATGCTTAGTTCATCTTCCACAATTACAGTAGAGCAAGCACTCCTTTTCTCTCATGAAAAGGAGCCTCTTCTAGAGAAAGAAAAAAAAAAAAAAGCCTTTACCAGATAATTGTGTCATTTTTATGTATCTTTGTGCCCTTTGTCTTCCTTCCTCTGAATTTATCTTGGCTTTCTTCTTACAGTAGTTCCCATAGCATTAGTCTGCTGTAAATTCAGCTATGGTTCATAATTATCTTTGAAAAACACTCGCATAAATAGCTACCAGGGATATCTTATTTATTTGTTTTCATTATAAAACTCATAAGAGGGACTAGCACAGTCAGTACCACAGACTGATTGTTTTGAGGAAGGCCTCCTTGGAGATAAGCAAAATTTTCCATGTGTCTGAGAGACGAAACAAAGAGCAGCTGCTGACTTATATTTATCATTACAGACTTGTTTGACTAACAGCTGGTTTTTTTGCTATGAAGAAAACATCCTACCCAAGATACTATATTTGTTACTTGTTTGGATTTGGGGACTGTATTAAATATACACTTTTTTTTTTTTTTTCATTTATTTAATCCATGGCTAAAGTCAAGGTACAGATTCTTAGCTGGTGTGAAGGAACATAATCATAGCAGGGGACAATTTAGCTGCAAATGTGTAGTTCTTATGTTTGTGTTGCAACAGACCCACCGTTAATGCTCAGGTGAGTCTGTTCTCGCATCTGTTCTCTTTCTCCAACAAGGACAGTAATACAAAACACAGGAACAGGCATGTTTTACATATCTGAGAACTCCAGTATCCAGATAGTGTTGGTGATTTTAGAGATTCCCTAATCAGAAACAGGATCACTTCTGGCAGAATTGATTCATGTTCAAGGGACAGAGAGTCAAAGAGCAAGGGTAAATAATCTATCCAGAAAAATATATTAACTTCAGCATTGAAACTGGGTTATAAACTTGTCTTTCATGGCATCCGTAACAATAACAACAGGAGCATAAACTGTTCTTAAAAAAAAGGAGGCTGACAAGCATCAAAGCTGTATTTGATATTGATGAAGAGACTGAAATGCAGCATCAGCCCTGGTAAAAACACTTCATTTATTCCTCAGTCATTGTGCCCAGGTTCTGACTGCTTACACAGTTAGAAATAGCCTGTGCATGGATTCTGGGGATCGGGGAAGGATAATGGACTAAACCAGCAAGGATCATAGTCCTTTTATTTACAAGTGTTTTTCCTGTCTGTTCCCCAGGCAGAGCTAAGAGCCTGGAGATGCTTCCCAGGTCCTCATGGCTCAGCAGCGTTTCCTGGTGAGTTTGGGTTGTTGTGCACAGTAACACTTTTGGTTGCAATGGTGATGGTTACAGCTGGTAATGAGTTACAAGGGAGGTGAAGTCTGCGCATTGTGCTCTCCAATGCTCTCGTGACAAATGGAATCCCGACAACTGTGTAAGTAGATCACTTCAGGTTTATTTAAAGTTAGTGAAGCAGACATAGAAGCCCTCAGATCAGGCAGTTCACACATATCCCACATTAGTAATGAACATGAAGTCCCACCCTTAGGAACTGCACTTCTTCACTTTTTCTACTTACAGAGAGGAAGGGAAGAAAAGAGAGAGAGCTTAAATTCCATGCAGAGTGGCTGAACATACAAGCCATAGTTACAACTAAATCCTGCAGCACTTGCTAAACTGAACTGATGTTTAAGATTGGAAGAATTGTGCCATGCTTCACATCTGCATCAGTTCTGGAAGAAAAGGCCAGGACAGCTGCATATACTGTGGAAAGTGCATGAGTGGCTTCAGTAGCAAAGAAATAAAAGGGGAGATTTCTCCTTCTTCCTCTATAACCACAGAGTAAGTTAATGAATGGTAGAACTGAAGGTTAGACTACCTGAGTCCAAGAGCTGTTAATTTCCAGATCCTTTATCAAAATAAAAGGTGAAAAAAAAAATTGAACAAAGTTTAGCAACTAAGTTGGTAAACTAGGAATATTTACAAATAGAAGTAGAAATATTTTATATATATATATACATACTCGACCTCATATTTAATGAAACACATTGTGTTAAAAGAGGGTTCTTGGCCCTTTGCTACTGCTCATCTGGCTGCAAAAAATCAGAAGACAAGTATTTGATGGCAAAGCTCATTGGTACAGCATAAATTAAATACAGAGAACACACACATGTAATAAGAAAACAGTACAAAATGTACCCCTCAAAATTAAAGACATATTCTTATGTTCCTCTTAAAAACTGCAATAGCTAAATTTTAATTGTGCAGTGGCTGTAGTTAAAATTCCATGTAGCTTCACATTATACTTTAATAATGTTCCTCTGTGTTTTGCAGTATAAGAAAATACTTCAGAATCTCTGTGCTTAGTGTAGGAAATATTGCAGAAATATAAATATGTGCAAAGGGTAAGTGTGGAGATTCTAACTGTGATGAAACTCTCTCCTAAATAATACAGCCCCAGAATACTTGGTGGATATTATCAAAAGGCATTTTATACATGTTTATGCAGGAAACTCAAATCTTTCCTCCAGATACAGCTACAGCTCTTGCTTGAGTTTAAAAAAATACATTGTATGAAAACTTTACACGAT